TACTCAGCCACTTTGCGCCTATGTATGCAAATTAACCACCATCTTTGTTGGCAGTTAATTTGTATATCTCGCTGACTAGCCAATGGGAGGTGTAGCGAAGGTACGGTCAATTACCCTGTTTGTCTATTATTAGGTAGGATAAAAGGAGAGCCCCACCAACACTCTTCTTGAGCCCGCAGGCCAACGCTCTATCCACTGAGCCAAACCGGTTAGGGCAACACTCTTCTAGAAGGATACATGAGCTTGCTATTTGCAGAAGCCAGGGGGGAAATTTGGAGGACAATTTAAAGCCCAAGAATGGAGAGCTATGTGTTAGAGGTCAATAAGCTTAGCATAAGCTTGAAGAAATTTATATCAATGAGCATCGTTATGCAAAAGCAGTCCCTACTGTGTAGAGGAATATATAATAACTAATCCACACAACCTCCTATAATGTGTAGATTAATCACCCTAACTTTTGGGTTGATTCTTTAGATAAATGCTTTTCAATTTCCTTATTATATTTTTATATTATATGTACTAGAGGCCTGGTGCACGGATTTTTGCACATTGAAAGGAAATTAATTAGAAGGTGGCTGGCGGGACGGGACTGGGCAAGATGGCCTGGACATGCCCTGGAGCCAACCTCCCACGGTCCCTCCCTGGCCAGCCACACGTGGGGCATTGCCGGGGCTCAAAGGCCTTCTGCAGAGTGAGCGGGGTCCCTCCAGCAGGTAGGGTTCCTCAGCCTGGCCTGCGGGGATCAGGCCAAAACCGGCAGTCGGACATCCCCCAAGGAGTTCTGGAGGGAACTCTGCAAAGTTGCTGTCACTCAGCAGCTCCTGCATGGAGCATCTGCCCCCTGGTGGTCACTGCACATCATAGCTACTGGTCAGATGGTCGAACGGTTGCTTAGGCTTTTATATCTAGAGATGTTATGTATGATCCCAATTTTCTAAAATTATTTCCGTTTATAAAGCTACCTACCGCCTAACGTCAACCTGTTCATGTTCACAATGACATCTAAACTGATGCTCCCGATTGTGGACAATGATCATCTCTGACCAGTGAGACTGGCGTTCATTTTTCCTTTGTACTTTTTGTATTGCCAGGTATAGTTCCGGGAACATGGGAACTTTCTGTTTGTCTTTCTTTCTTCTTGGAGCATATGGGTTTTTATTCTTAAAAATTAAAAACTAACACATTTTGATTAAAATGTCTTTCACCTGGGCTTCAATGTCAGCCTGAGCTGGATTCAAATCCTAGGTTTGAAGGACCTGCAGCATCCTTAGCCTCTCTTAGCCTTCATGTCAAATGGACATGTTTACCTTTGATGGTCGTGGTTGGGATGTAAAACGGTATACATCGAATAGCTAACACGATCTAGCGATACCAGGTAGTTAACGACAAATGAGAGCCATTTATCACTTCTACTAGTGTGAGCCCAGTATGTTGCTTCTGTTCTGATATTTAAATTTGTCCTACTTTCAACAAAATGCTGGTATTCGCCAAGACTCTGGTATTAAACTATTTGGTGTTGTTCCAGGTAGGTTAGTCTCCCAGTGAGAGCCCCAGCCCAGCCCCTGGTCGCTCATAACCACCACCTGAAATTTCATGTGAATACTTGACTTCATAGCTGCAGACACTGTTTAACTGAGAGGCGTTCCTGTATCCAGGCCGGCCTGCCGTGGATAATACCAATGTTTTATTTTGTTTTTATGTTGGGTGATAAATGGACTTATGTGCCATTCTGGTCCTCAAAGGTTATGACTTGCTACTCTATACAGTAGTGCTACTGTGATGCTCCATGCAGGGATTGGTTTAAACATATTGGTAACCAATGAAAAGCTTCCTTCGGTGCCTTCAGTAGCAGCAGGAGGAGGCCTAATCTAGTCCCGAACCCAACAGAGCTGAATTTATTTGTCCCTCCTGCCAGCCCAGTACTTCCTCAATCACAACTTGCAAAGGGCAGAACTTGCCCATCCAGCTCCACCCCGCTTGTTGACCTCATATGGTCCTTGGATAATCTTTATAGAAAAGAACATACCGGTGATTAAATAATCTGGGTTATTTGCCCACATGGTGTTCCTTTCCACACTCCTTTCGCCCTTTCATGCTCAGCTGGTCTTTCACAAAGATCAGAAGACACCTATGTGCTTTAAGCCCAAGACCTGAAAGGCGTTACCTAGCAAAACTGTCCAACCCAGAGTGCATCACAATACCTTTTGAGTGATGTAAAGGGATCAAGTCCCCTAACTCTGCAGGGGGCCCTAGCTGTGCATCCAACTCCTGGAGGCAGCCCAGAGGACCCCTCTTTAAAGCAAGAAGGTCTCCAACTACTGGAGCCTGAGCAGGTAACACCGGTATGACCCTCACTCCCGCACCTCTCTCTCCTCCCACATCGTGGCTGCATTACTCAATAGCTGACTGCATTTTGAATGTTCTAGAGACTGGAGCTCATGATTTACAGACACTTTGTGGCGAACCTTTCCCAAAGACAAGAATTCTCTTACAAAATGAACATTCATACTCAACTTTGAATTATTGGAATGGTTCTAGCTCAGCATTTTATTTTTCTCTTAGAAATGGGGTATATCTCCATTAAGGTATCTGACTCTATGATGCCAGACGAACAAAGCTTAAAAACTGTTAACTGAGTCACTAGGTTACTGAGTTGATTGACGGATAGATTTTTTTTTTTTCATTTATCCATTCATTCCAAAGGATGCATAGAGCACTTCCTTGGGTGGGAAATGACAGTGAGGTAGGAGAGCAATGAGAGTGGAGATACTGGCCACCAAAACAATATGGTTCCGGCATCTAGAAGTTTCCGTTGCAGCTGGACAGGCAAGGCACTGTATGAAACTCGTGTCTTCTTCTTTGAAGAATCTCTAGAGCAGTGATTCTCAACCTTCCTTATGCCGCGACCCTTAATGCAGTTCCTCATGTTGTGGGGACCCCCAACCATAAAATTATTTTCGTTGCTATTTCATCACTGTAATTTTGCTACTGTTATGAATCGTCATGTAAATATCTGATATGCAGGATGTATTTTCATTGTGACAAATTGAACATAATGAAAGCATAGTGATTAATCACAAAAACAATATGTAATTATATATGTGTTTTCCGATGGTCTTAGGCAACCCCTGTGAAAGGGTCGTTCGACCCCCAAAGGGGTCACGACCCACAGGTTGAGAACTGCTGCTCTAGAGCCTTGTCCACATGTGGGCAAAGTTGTCACTCACTAAATACTTTCTTAAATGATGGACTTTGTAAATGAATTAACAAACCAATGAGGAAAGATCTGAGAACCAAAATGCCTAATAGAATTCATCAAGGGCTCTGGGAATTCAGAGGCAGGCAATGGGCCACTTGGAAATCAGGACAGAGGCCTTGAATAAGGCCCTGAAGAACTGGCAGAATTTAGACTAGACAAGGAAGAAGGGAAAAGCAATTCATAGAAGGGTTGGAGGAGGGTGGAAGGGGAGGAAGAGGTGGGTAACCAACCTTCCTGAACCAGGAAGACTGGCTTCCTGAGAAAACAGAAGCAACAGAAGACTGGCAAAGGAACTCTGTTACTGAAGACCCTTTTCTACACGTCCTCTCACAACACATGTGCCCAAAGGCAGTTGGGAGCAATTGCCAGAGAGCAATCCTCCAGGCAGCCTGGCTGCTGTCTGACCCTAAGGGGACCCAGTTGATGGGTCACAATTCTGAGCAAGCACCCCACCCCCACACCTTCTCTACACTGATTGGAGGAATCGGCTTCATATCAGAACTCTAGTTGCAAGGGAGTCTGGGAAATGTAGTGCTCAGCCTGAAAGCTGGTGCAGGGGGAAGGCACCCTAACAAGGGTGGGGAGGGGCTAAGTGCCCAACTGGCGTAGTATTTTTTTTTTTTTTTTGCTTTTAAAGAAAAGCGCCCTAGCTGGTTTGGCTCAGTGGATAGAGCATCGGCTGCATAACCGAAGGGTCCTGGGTTCAATTACAGCCAAGGGCACATGCCTGGAAGGGGGAGGTCAGGAAGAAATTAACCAAAGATCTTATATGCATACTAGAGGCCCGGTGCATGGGGTCCCTCTGCCTCCAGCATCTCCCAAATAGTCCCAGATTTCGACAGGCCAGGCTGAGGGACCCCACCAGTGCATGAATCCGTGCACCGGGCCTCTAGTTTTAAAAGAAAAAAGAAAAACATATCTGCATGCATTAGTTTACACTTCCGTGTCTTTATGCTCCTTTTCTAGTCTATTTCCTTCCCTAAATAGTCAGGCAGAAGATCTCTATTTTTAAAAAAATATTTTTTATTGATATTTAGAGAGAGAGGAAGGGAGAGGAAGAGAGAGATAGAAACATCGATGATGAGAGAGAACCATGGATTTGCTGCCTCCTGCACACCTCCTACTGGGGATCGAGCCCTGTGGGGAACCAATATAGGGTTGAGCCTCGGACTGACCTGTTGGCAAAGTCACAAACCAGTCCCTGTTCGGGCGTCAGATGTTGTAAATGTTTCCCTCCATGTCCTGCGTGGTTGAGCGTTCAGGATCTGGAAGAGGAGCTGCACACAAATGAAAGAGAAAAGACAAGAGATAATTTGGGAATATTGGGGGGCCAGGCGGGTAAGTCCAACGCAGGAGGAAGGACTTCCACCAGTGCTCAGGCCCCATCAACCTTTTATAGTCAGAGGTAAACAAGGCATCCCTCAGCCGTTAGCTTCTCAGATAAGATCTAGGGAGTGTTATAAGGACAAGCCTAATTATGCTAAGAGGACTGAGCCCTCTAAGCTGAGACTTGTTTGTGACTTTGCCAGCAGGTCAGTCCGAGGCTCAACCCTATATCAGTTCCCCACAGAGCCCCCAACCCATGCATGTGCCCTGCCTGGTAATCCAACCCTGACCTCCTGGTTCATAGGTCAATGCTCAACCCCTGAGCCACGCCAGCCAGTGATCTCTACTTTTAAGAAGGACTTCATAATACCAGATGGCTCTCACCTGGAAATGTATATAGACTTGCCATGGGAACATTCTTCACATTTTTTTTTCTTTCAGAATCCCACACATCATGACCGCCATCCGGCTACGACAATTTGTTGATCGCCACCCAGTGATCCCACCCAGGTAACCTCCTTCCAGAGGCAGACAGGCCAGAAAGCTGCTGCCAGGGGGCTCTAGTGAAGTGTCTTTGGGTTTAGTTGTTAAAAACAAAACGAAAACTAAAAACTCCCACACTCGTGGCAGAATCCAAGCAAGCAGGCAACGCCAAATTCCCAAAAGATTGAAGGACATTGGTTTTTGCTTGGGAAAGGCTTTAGCAAGAAGACTGAGGGATCCCTTTACTCCACTTGGAATCCATCAGCCACTCCTGTGCTTCTGCTACACGGGAGGTGACCGCACCGACGGAAACCAGGGCCGAGTATCACTCTTTCTCCAAGTTCATCCGTGGCCTAGGAATAACAAGTCCTAGACGTGTTTCATTGGGTTAAGCTCATCTTGCTGAGAGAGACTGTACAACAATCTGTGAATTCTAACCCCATCCGCCCTTCCCCAGTCGCCATGGGATCTGCAGAGCTTTATAAACTATAAAATCAGGGTAGGAACCTTACACAGCAAGTGATTTTGGGTCAGCATCCTGCAGCCCCAGTGACTTGGTGGTTTTGAGCAAACCTCGTGTTCATTCTAGTATTTAGTTAATTTTAACAATATTTAGTCAACAAAGGTAAGTTATTTTGCTTCCAGAAATTATCCAAGAAAGAAGGGGGGGAGGTGAGGGATCTTGGTTCCCAGGTATTTTGAGAGTCCTTTCAGAGAAAACACAGAGCCTACCTCTGGGTCCCTGAAACCCCGAAAGGAGGAAGCAGGGCGGTTCCAGTGGCTCATGGTTTCTGTCTCCCCACAGGTGTTGGCTTTCTGTGTGTTTGACATCTGTTTTGTCCACGGTTGGGCGTATTGGACTGTGGTCTCATCTCCTGGGGAAAATGGAAACAAACTTCCCCTTGTGGCTGCTGCCTGGGGCTCGGCGGAACTAACTCAGTCACTGGGCCTGACCTGAGCCAGCCGTGGGCAGCCTGAGGGTTTGGGTGGAACACGGTGTGACAGGCACTGAAGTCACAAGGCTGGCTGGATTCTGTTCTCTGTGTTCATCCATCAGAGCCCCACTAGGAGGCACCTGTCTGAGCTACCCTGGGTACCCTGCCCACCACCCACCTTCAGGGCTCACTGTGGAGCAGGGCTGTGTCTATGTACTCCCTCAGCAACAATCATGGGTCCAATCCACCAGCAAGCTCAGTCCTGCCTCCGAAATCCATCTCCCGTGGGAATGACTCACCATCTCCACTGCCGACACTGTGTCCAGACCACCATGGCCTCTCCCTTGCTCATTTACACCAACCACCACTCTTGTTGTCCTCCAACCCATTCTCCAGAGCGAGTTGCATGAAATATAAATTGGATCAAAGCCACCCCCCTTTGCATAAAGCCCTGTGATGATTGCATTTTGCATAAAATCCAAACTCGTTGCCAGGGCCTACAAAGCCTACATGAACTGGCCTTGCCCATCTACAAAGCCCCATTGTCTTCTTCCATTCCTTCAATAGGCCACACTCCTTCATTCCTCAGGGCTTTTGCACATGTCCCTTCTCCCTGGATTGCTCCCTCCCCGGCCCTGGCATGGCCTGTCTAAACTAGCCTCCTGTCACCACACGGCTTAGCTCCTTGTCAGCTGCTCAGAGCGCGATTCCTGAACCACCCTGGCTAGAAAAGGTCTTCTGTCCACCTCTCCAGCTCTGTTACCTATTGTTATTATTGACTAGAAGCCCGTTGCATGAAGATTCATGCAATAGGCCTTCCTTCCCCTGGCGGCCGGCACCAGTTTTCCTCCGGCACCTGGGACCCAGGCCTTTGGTCCGGCAGCAGCAGAGAAGGCAAGCCTCTTGAGTCTTCAGCCTTCGCTCCATGCCTGCATATGCAAATTAACTGCCATCTTTGTTGGGTTAATTTGCATAGTTGCTCCGATTGGCTGGTGGGCATAGCGGAGTGACACCAATTTGCATGTTTCTCTTTTATTAGTGTAGATTTCAGAAAGGGAGAGGGAGAGAGAGCTAGAAGCATCAGTGATGAGAGAGAATCATTGATGGGCTGCCTCTTGCATGCCTCCTATTGGAGGTGGAGCCCGCAACCCAGGCATGTGCCCTGGCCGAATTAAACAGTGACCTCCTGGTTCATAGGTCAATGCTCAACCACTAAGCCACACCGGCTGGACTGTACTTCTGTTATACTCCATCTCACGCCATTTTTGGAAACATGACCTCAGGGCCCTTATCACAACTTATTTTGTTTCTTCTTGATCTCACCCACTGGAACAACAGTTAAGACTCATGCAACTCTTATCCTGTGGCAACCACTGTACTTAACCTTCACAACAACTTAGGCACAGAGTAGTTAAGTGACGTCCCAAGATCCCACAGCTAGTAAGTGATTGGCAGAAGTGGGATTTGAACCCACTGGCCTGGCTCCAACATCTGTGCTCTTGATCCCCGCACTCTATTGCATCTCCCTAGGGTGGCTCGTTTGCCTCTCCCTACAACCCACCATCATCACTTCTGCCCAGCTGATTGTCACACGTGGTAGGTCCTATGCCCATTTGCTGAAAAAATAATGAAAATGAATGAATCCATTCTTCATTGAGAAAAATAATGATTCTGTCATTTATTTGTGGTTTGGTTTTCTGGGTTCAATTCCAAGCAAGGGCACGTACTTTGATTGCAAGTTTGATCCCCGGCCCTGGTCGGGGAGTGTGCAGGAGGCAACCAATCAATGTGTCTCTCTCATATCAATGTTTCTCTCTCTGTCTCTCCCCCTCTCTTCCACGCTCCCTAAAAATCAATGGGAAAATATCAGGTGAGGATTAACAACAAAAACAAAGACAGTACAAGTAAAAGAATGTAAAATATCTTATTTTTAAAAACCGTTAAACTCTTCTGAAAAAAGTAATCATATGTACATATTATAGATGATTCTGGATGCAACATGGAGTTTGGAGAACTGGGTTTGGTCCTGGCTCTGGCCGTTGCTAGCCGGGGAGTATTTAGAGAGTCCGCTCTCTGAACCCCAGTCTCCTCTTCCACAACCAGGTGTAAATATTTACCTGGCAAGGTGACCGTGAGAATTGGATGAGATCATCTCTGCACAGACACTTGGGCAGCAGGCGGCAGACATAACAGAGAATTGCAGTCACAGCCGTAACCCCCTCGGGCCATGAGGCCAGGCTCCTGAGGGACCGACACTCCGGACCTCCCCGGGGCATATCGAATGGTGTCTGCGGTTACAGTCACCCTCGCAGGGGACAGGTCTGCTCTTGTCTGAACTGAACGCGTCGCCTCAGAGAGCCGAGCTGCCCTGGACTGTAAATAATGCAGCAGACACAGCGGAGACCTGCCCGCTCCCAGGAGAGCAAAGGCCTCTGTGCACCTAATGCAGAAACTGAAGGGGTGGGAGCCGAGTTGGGAGGGGCTCCTTGGCCAGGCCTGAGGGCTGGCACGTGCTTTCCAGCCAGCCATCGGTTTGCCCCACACCCATCCACCCTGGGAGAGGTCGGGTGCTGACTGACAGTCAGGCGAGGCATTTCCCTGTAGGACAGCGGTTCTCAACCTGTGGATCGCGACCCTTTCACAGGGGTCACCTAAGACCATCAGAAAATACATATATAATTACATATTGTTTTGTGATGAATCACTCTGCTTTAATTATGTTCAATTTGTAACAATGAAAATACATCCTGCATATCAGATATTTACATGACGATTCCTAACAGTAGCAAAATTACAGTGATGAAGTAGCAACGAAAATAATGTTATGGTTGGGGGTCCCCACAACATGAGGAACTGTGTTAAAGGGTCGCGGCATCAGGAAGGTTGAGAACCACTGCTGTAGGAGGTAGCAATTGTCTTCCAAAAACTGATGTTTTAGCCGCTTCGTTGGGAGCTTTCTCCTGTTTGAAGGCACATAGAAGGGGTTGGAAAGTCTAACCAAGGAGTTCGAGGCAAAGTGTCCCATCTTCAGCCCCCGCCCTCCAACACCCTCCTCCTTACACATGTCCCCACGGTCCGTTCCTGGGCCAAAGCCTGCCCAGGGACCTTCCCAAAGGCTGGATGGCAGAGCGTTAGCTGGTGCTGGTGAAGGGCTCCTCCCCCAAACAGCTTGGGCTGCCACCTGCGCTCGGCAGGTACTGGCCGTGTGCACACGAGGGAAGAAGAGTCCATGGTCAGGGCACAGCCCAGCAAACAGCACAGCAGCTGTGAGAAGCCAGTGTCGCTCTGGAGCTCCATCGGCGTCTAATACACTGGCACATGGCCCTGGGGGACCAGTCAGACCTGGATGGCGCCTACGGAAGCCAGGGCTCCCCTCTGGGGCACCTAGAGATTTCATTTGTTCCCAGGATTGTGCCAACTCCTCTCTCTCCTTATGACTCAGTCCCTACTGTTAGTTCCTATCCAGGCCTCAGTCATATTATCCACGGCTGGGCAGGCCCAGACAGCCTGTGGTTTCTCTGAAAATCAGAGGTGCCCGAGGTCCTGTTTGCACAGACAGACCCGCCCACCCCACAGAGCTTGCCTTTCATACCAGGTAGGAAGCGGGGACCCCACCGGTCCCCACATGCCCCGCTCTGATCCCAACTCTGTCCAAGTCTTTTTTTAAAAAATATATTTTATTGATTTTTTTACAGAGAGGAAGGGAGAGGGATAGAGAGTCAGAAACATCGATGAGAGAGATACTTGATCAGCTGCCTCCTGCACAGCCCACACTGGGGATGTGCCTGCAACCAAGGTACATGCCCTTGACCCGAATCAAACCTGGGACCCTTCAGTCGGCAGGCCGACGCTCTATCCACTGAGCCAAACCAGTCAGGGCTCTGTCCAAGTCTTGATTTCTGAAATTGCCTCACCTGGAATCTCTTCCCCATCCTATTTGCCTCCCCAAACCCTAGACACCTGCCCAAACCCTAGACACCTGCTCAAACCCTAGACACCTGCTCAAACCCTAGACCAGCGGTTCTCAACTTGTGGGTTGTGACCCCTTTGGGGGTCGAATGACCCTTTCACAGGGGTCGCCTAAGGCCACCGGAAAACATATATATAATTACATATTTTTTGTGATGAATCACTATGCTTTCATTATGTTCAATTTGTAACAATGAAAATACATCCTGCATATCAGGTATTTACATGACAATTCCTAACAGTAGCAAAATTACAGTGATGAAGTAGCAACGAAAATAATGTTATGGTTGGGGGTCCCCACAACATGAGGAACTGTATTAAAGGGTCGCGGCATTAGGAAGGTTGAGAACCACTGCTCCAGGCCCATTGGCTTTCATTCAGACCACTATTTCGGCACCTAAAGAGCATTCTGGGGACAAGACCTGCTGCTGAGTCAGCTTGAACCTAGCAGGGTGTGCAGAGAAGGCTGCATACGTTCCATAAGTGATGTTTGGACTGGAGGTACATAGCTGAAGTTTCCATTCGTTGCCAACACATATTGGCGAGCTACTTCATGGTTTGGCTACTGACTCTTCCCTGGAATTCTTACAGTTCCTACTGAGTCCTCAGAATCTGCGGAAGGCCCTAAAAGACCGCACATATCACAAACCCTATAGTCCTCCAACAATGGCCATCGTCCTGTGTCCCCTCTCCCAGGGCATGGCAGCACCTTCCCAATGCTACAGCCTAAGACTGGCCTTGGACAGCTCCCATCTTTTACCTCAGTCCTCTCTCCTACCGCATCCCCACTCCATCCTCTCCTCTCCATCCACATTTTCAGCACATTGCTCAGAGCTTCACCCCACCCCACAAAACCACTAAAATCTCCTCCTTCCTGCCTTTCTACTCCTAGACAGATTGTCCTCAGATTTGTTTTCCACCAACTTTCTAAAATAAAAAGTGTATTATAGCCTGGTTGGCATGGCTCAGTGGTTGATCATCGACCTATGAACTAACAGGTCACAGTTCAATTCCAGTCAGGGCACATGCCCAGGGTTGAGGGCTTGATCCCCAGTGTGGGGCGTGCAGGAGGCAGCCGATCCATGATCCTTTCTCATTGTTGATGTTTCTCTTTCTCGCTCCCTCTCCCTTCTTATATATATATTTAAGTAGAGAAAATAATATAAGAAACCCCCATTTTGTAATTCCCACTTTTCAACTATGATCAACATTTGCCCCACTGGTTTTAAATATCATTGTATTTTTGTTCCTGGTATTTTGAAACTGACACATCAAATGATTCCTGAAAACTGGGTAAAAAAGACAATAC